GCTCCCTGGGAGCGAGTGTCTCAGAGGCACCGGCCGGCCAGGTCTCACCAGCTCGCGGCCTCGGTCAGGCTCTTGGTGAGGACTGGCCAAGTGAACACACTGTTTATGTACATGGGGTTTTCCCGTTTTCCTTCTTTTGGATTACTTTAGGTAGATTCCCAGGAATGGAGTTGTGGGTCGGAGGACATAAGCGTTGTTACAGCTTCTAAACGGTGCTCAGTTTTGATGGATGACCCTTTACCAAAGGGCCAGGATCCAGGGAGCCAGAGAGCTTGGATCATTTGTCGTGTCGTGAGGGGTTAGGGGACGAGCCTGGCTCCTGTGTGCCCCAGCCCTCCCCCAGCGATGTGCTTGCTTGCCCTCTGCGCCCTTGATAAATGAATGAACTTGGGATCAAATGACTTGATAGAGGGACTTTTCTGAGCACCGAGGAGAGAGCTGAGCTTGGAAGGAGGAAAGTCCCTGGGGCCCAAGAGAAGAGATAGGTGCTTGGAGCCTGCCTCCCCAAGAGTGGGCGTCTGGGTTTGTGGGACAACAGCTTGTGGGAGCAGCTGGGACATCACATGGCTCTCAGCCAGCTGTCAGGGACTGAGTTCCACCTCTAGCCACATGAGTGTGGCCTGGTTTTCATTCTCTGAACGGGCACCTCACATCAGGGCCCCTAAATGCAGCAGGCGTCTGTCCTGTCGGGACTGTGCCCACCCAGCCCGTGTCTGCCCCTCACCCCCAGGACATTCTTGCAGTTGTGAAGAGGGACAGCCACATGGCTTTCCAGTTCGTGTCCCCTGTGGGCACTGGTGCCAGTCTGACTGGGATGTTAGCCATCTGAGGCAGCGGCAGTAGCTGCACATGGGGGCAGGGTGGGTCAGACCTGAGTGCTTGGCTGTGTTCAGGACACCGTGCCAGGCGTCTGGGCCACTGAGCGCCCAGCTGATCTGGCCTCCGCCTTCACGGCATGGAGACCAGTGAAGAGCGCCAGGGAGGCTGCCTGGCCTCCATGTGACCTCCCGTCCAGAGGGCACAGAGAGCCTGCAGGCTCGGGTCAGGGAAACCTCCTCTGGAGGTGGCATTTGCCTTGGGCTGTGAGGGGGGAGTAGGAGGTGAGACACAGGTGTTAGGTGAGACTCAGCATACGGGCCCTGGAGCCTTCAGACAGAGATGCTGACACCGGCCTCCGGCTGGCGGCTCATCTGGCGTCGGCTCTCACTCTGCTGAGCTCTGGAGCTTGGCCTGTCCCTGCTGCTTCCAGCACGACTGGAGTGTCTGTCCTGCCCCAGGATTCAGGAGCCAAGCATTTCAAATGGTCATGTGGGGTGGAGCAGGGACTGGTTCTCTCCGTCCTGCTTCTAAGCCCTCTGCGGGTGTTGTGGGTGACAACTTCAACACTGACTGCGTCACCTGTCACCAGCTGAGTGGCCGGTCAGTGTGGGGAGGCCCCAGATCACTCGAGGGTCCTACTTGTCCTACTTTGGGAGGGGGCATTTCAGGTCCTGAAAGTGTGATCCGGGCCAGCCAGGCCCGTAGTGCGTCCCTGCAGAACGGTGGCGTCTCCGTGAACGTGACGGGCATGGGGTGGTTGGAGATGTGGAGGATGTCTGGAGCCATGAAGTCCTGTGGATGGGGGGGTCGTGCGCACTGCCCTGCACCCCGAGAACCCCGCCTTGGCCTATGTTGGAACCCACAGGCCGTTTCCCGGCCTCTAGGTTTCCCACTAACCTTGGCTCTCGGAACGGAACTTACTTGCCGTCACACTAGACCAGCGCTGTCCAAGACACAGACAATCCAAGCCATACGATATACCCTCAAGAGTTCAGACACCACATGCACAGATTAAATTAATGTTAATAAGTATATCTTATTCAGCCCAGTGCATCCAAAATACTTCACCATGTGGTCCCGCCTGCGTGCCACACACCCAGTAGCCACCATGTGGCTATGGTGACTGTTGGACGGGGTGAATCGAGGCTGACTTTACATGTGGAACCGAGCCTGGGGCCGCAGACAGACGAGTTTCTGCCTCTATATCTGACAGGACCTGGCAAGGCCGGATTGCAGCTCTGTCTGTTTGGGAGAGAGCGAGGGGAACACGAGAGGCTGTCTGGGTTTCTGCACATGTCGCCGTGTTGCTTTTGGTCCTGCCCTGCCCTGTATCCCGTGTGTGTTTCTGTGTTTGGGCCTCAACTTCCTGAGAGTAGGGCCTTCCTGCCTCCCTGAGGTTGCCGCGTGCCCGAAATCCACATGCTCGCAGTGCCAGCAGCCTTTCATGGTGCTTGCAGCGATTTCTAGATTTTTTTTTAAAGGAAACGAGCCCGTTAATCATTGTCTTGAGGTCGATTTGCCCGCCTTATTGACCCAACTTCTGTAATATGAATAATGTGTCAGACATTGAAAGCATGTGATGGAAAAGGTTTTATGCCCCCGGAATTTAGTGAGATGACTAAGAGGTTACTAATTGTTCCCAGTTAGATTTAATGCCCGGAGATTTAAAGGGAGAAGGTTTTCTTGTAAAAAAAAACGATTTTTCACAGTGCGTGCATTGCAGGAAACAGCTGGAGAGGCTATGAGGGACCTGACCCAACAAGTGTGCACAGACAAAAAGAGGCCTGTCTGGGCAACCACTGGTGGTCTTCTCCCGAGGGTGGGCCTGGGGCCAGTAGGGTGCTGGTGGGAAGCCCAGAGCACGCACGCACCAGCCACACACACGCTTTCCTCCGTGCTGGCGTCGGGAGATGGGGAGCTCAGTGCGGGGAGCAGGGGACGAGGTGGGCTTTGGGCTCTGACGTGGGCTGCGGCCTGCCTCCCAGCCGCTCTCCTCTCCCTGCTCTGGCACTGCTGGGTTCTCTTTTCCCTGCCCCAGAGCCAGGCCGAGTGCTGCCCACCATCCACCCTGTGCTTCATAGGTCTCCCAGATGGGCCAATCTCCCCAGACCCGAGCCCTCCCCGCCCTTTCAACAGCAGTGACACTGACTAGTTACGTCATTGCCCTGCTAAGCATGCAGGAAGGCATCTGCGTGTTTAGGGCCTGGCTGGGTGTCCCGGCCGCCCCTTCCTTGACCTCCTCAGCCTCCCTTCGCCTGGCTCTCCTGCTCTGGGCCTTTGCACATGCCCTTCTCTCTGCCTTGTCCTCTGGCCACCGCCTGCTTCCTTTTCACACCAAGCCCCTGCATCCTTCATGATTATTCGTTCATTCCTTTCTTACTGATTCAACAGATACTGACCTCTTGTGTGTGTGTGGCACTGAGCCAGATGCAAAAGAAATGGGACATCCTGGAGTGTTTGTTTATTGAGTCTGCAGCTGGCAGGTCTCCTGACCTCTGGGTGCCAAGGCCCTTGTCCCACCTCCTTGGGTAGATGTCTTCGCCCGTGCCCTGCAGCCACACCAGCCCACCTCCCCGCCCTGACCTCTGTCAGAGCACTTGACACACTCTCAAAACAACTGGTTTGTTTTCTGGGTCTCATGGGGCCAAGCCCTGATCCAGGCATCTGCTATTCCAGGTAGAAAATGTGAATAGTAAATGTCGGTTGAATGGACGATGAAATGGTCTCTTGGCTGATAGTTGGAAGAACTTTCTGTAAAGTACCCAGACATCCTGTAGTGGCTGGTTTTCCCTACCTGGGACTCTGTGCCGGTGTCACCAGAGAGACCCCACGTAGTGGCCATGCTTGCGGACAGTAGCAGATGGGTCTCAGGCCCGTCACTTGCTGCTGTGAGGCCTGGGAAGCAGTTTTCCAGGGTGCCCCCGACCCCGGGACCGGTGTGCCTGACGTCTGCCCCCCTCACTGACGCCAATGTGGATGAGGTTCCCGTGACTGTGCCATGGACCCTTCCTAGGGCGCCTTCGTGGGGCCCACACCTGCCAGCTCTTTGGTTTGCAGATTGGCTTTTTGTGTGGGGTTCCCTCTGCATCCTGGTTTATTTTCTTTCATGTCCACATGGTGAGACTCACCCTCTGTGGCATGTAGTCTGAGAGTTTGGATAAATACAGATGCATGGCTCCGTCACCACCGTCAGGGTGCAGACACTCCATCCCCCCAAGTCCCCTGCTGTCAGCCGCCCCCTTACCCCAAGCCCTGGCAACCACAGATTTGTTTCCTGCCTGTCTAATTTCGCGTTTTTCAGTATGTCACACACGTGGAACCATGTGGTATGCAGCCTTTGGGGATGTGCACTTGCTGTCCGTCCACGTCGTGCGAGGCGCTGGTTGGCTTTTTGTTGCTGAACAGTGTGTCCTGTCGCACGGGTGAGCCACAGTTTTTCTGCTCACCAGATGGGCGACGTTTGGGGCAATTACGAATATAGCCTGCAGACACTGGCATACAGGTTTTTGTGTGACTGTGTTTTCACTCCTCTTGGGAGAGTGTCTAAGAGTGGGGTTGCTGGGCCGCGTGGCACATGGTGTATGAGGCGCTGCCGAGCAGTTTTCTGGAGTGGCTGCAGCTTCTGCATTCCCACCAGTGGCGAGCGAGGGTGTGTCCTACCTGCTCTGTGCCCTGTCCTTTAAAAATGTCAATTAAAAAAAATTAGCTCTTATAAAGCTGCTCCATCTCATCTGTAACCTGCAGTTTTCTGTGGGCGCTCTCCCAGGTGCTGGCAGAGTTTAAGCCATTATTTGACTGGGTTTGGCAAGGATATCACCCATCTCTGTGTGACATTTGGTTTCTTGAGGTAGAATGTATAGGCTCTCCGAGTGAAAGGGCAGCAGAAATATCAAGCCTTCCTAAACCCTTTTGAGGAAATGTTATATTTTATCATGCTGTAATTTTAGAATTTAGACAGATTTCTTATTATAAGGGTTAAATTCTTTATGTTAAAACTGCTGTTTGCGTGAACAGCTTGTTGTGAGCAAAAGCCACTAACCTTGAAATGGAAATTCCTGTGACCTGTTCTTAACGCTCCCTTTCAGGTGGGAAGGTATACAGCCTGTCCTCACAAAACACCGTTTCTTTAGGCCCTTCGTCTTCTTGGTGGCCGTAACGCTTTTCCTCTTCCCTCTTTCCAGGCCCCGAATCGTCAGCTCATGACTTACTGGTTACAGGAGCTTCAGCAGAAGAGATGGGAATACTGCAACGGTCTGGACATGGTCAAGTGGGACGGCAGGATCTCCCCAACACCTGGGGACTTTGCTAAGGGCCTCGTGGCCAGAGATACCACAGGTGAGTCAGAAATGGAGGGACCTTTGTCAGTGCTTTGTGTAGCTCCGTGTCACACCGCAAGTCAGCCTGGCAGGGCAATTGGGAATGCAAACCGTGGTGATGACCGCTTCTGGACAGGAGCATTCCCCAGTGACCGAGGGTTTCCAGGTCCAGAACTGTATTCAAGCCTAATGGTGGCCCTGGGAGGCAGGCAGGGCCAGCGCCAAGCCCCTGGAGAGACCCTACGGCCGCAGTCGGCAGGTCGTATGTGTGCTGGGAAGTAATGCCGTGTGACCCCAGGTCCAGCCTGCCTCCGGCTACCTGACGTGCCCACGCACACACCTCCATGCTTGGGCAGAGCTGCTGGGGTTGACAGCAGCTGGTACACACTGGGGATGGCTTCTCAGCGCACTCGGTGTGGCTGTGACCCAGTGGTGTCCCTTCGGAAGCCTATAACTGTCAAACTCCGGTTCTGTTTCTTTCTGCATCTGTGGCGTTTCCACAGCTCATGGTCCTCCCTGGGCAACTGCAGTGTAGCATAATGTGGTTTTATATTTGAATGTCAACCATTAAAACCCTCTGTTCTTAGGGCCGGCCGAGTGGCTCAGTTGGTTAAGAGCTCGCTCAAGAGTTTGAGCTCTGAGCAACAGCAGTTCGAGTCCAGCCCGAGCTAAGCAGCCGCTGAGCTGCCAACAGGTAGCAGGATGGCTCAGCTAAAAAAAAACAACAACAAAAAAACCCCTCTGTTCTTCTCAGGACTTTTGGTTGTGGTGAGCCCTGTTAACTCAGAGAGCAGGACAGCAGGTTACCTGCTGACCAGCCTGTCCCCCTGCAAAGACTGCTGAGCTGGGGCAGTGTTTGTGGCCCCCCTCTTCCTGCAGGGAGAAGACAGGCTCCAGGAAAAGCAGGCCCCTACGCCCTGGTAAGGTGTGAGAGGGCCTGGCCATCACGCTGGCCTTTGTGAAGGATCACAGGAGCACAGACCGAAGTCGAAGGTAGTAAGGGCTGGTCCTGCCCTTACAGCGAGACGTGGCTTGAGCTTATAACACCCGGGGAGTCTGCTCAGGAGAGCACGGGCCACATTCGCCGTCCCTATACACCAGCGACTTGCTTTGGAGACAAATGCCTTCTTGGACTTTTAATTATCTTTTTCTTCCAAATCCCTGTTTTGCCTCCAATTGTGTTTTTGCCAATCGCAGTTATTTTCCAGCAGGTTACCCCTCTGGTCAGTGAGAATCACTGTGCTCCATATTTGTTGATACGTTGTCCTATGAGAACCCTCAGGTCATTTTTACGGACATCTTAACCAACAGTGCCGAGACCGAGGTGTTGCCTTCATTTTCAAGCCTAAACCCTCTGTGTTTGGCTCACAATCCCTCACATTGTTGAGTGAGTTTTTTGAAAAGCCACTATTGTAGGGCTTCTGATCAGAAGAAGCTCAGTGACTCAGTATCGAAGCCACTCGGAACATGTGGGAACCAGAGCAGGAACAGCAGGAGTCACGATGGCAGCTGCCGCCCCGGGCACACAAGGGCCTGCTTTGCCTCGGTCCCTTTATTCTGAGGACACAGTGCTTGTCTAGCAAAGGCTCAGCATGTTACACTGAAAGGGCAGAGAGGTAGCGCCCAGCCATGTAGCCAGCATAGCACGTCCTCCCCTCTTTTAAGCTGAAGTGCCGTGGCTGGGGAGCCAGAAAAAACATCCGAAGCCCATAGCTGGTCCTCTTCGCTTGGTTTGGGGACCCCTAAGTGTGGGGATTTGAGTTTGTGCACGGACATCTGCTCATTTTTTCAGCAGAGCAGGCGCCGTGAAGGGCACCTCTACTCACAGAAGTTCTGTTTGAGCAGGTGTGAAGAAAACGTGCGATGAGTGTGATGGGGCGGGTGGGGTACAGAGGCCCAGGAGTGGGGTGAGCACCGCTGAGGGTGCTTGGGGGCCTCTCTGACGGGGTGACAGCTAACCTGAGACCTGCAGGATGACCAGGAGTTCGCTAGGTAGAGGGAGGGGTTTTACGCAAGAGGTCTGGAGCCTGGTGCATTTGAGGAGCTGCGTGAAGGCAGGTGGCCCTGGATAGAAAACAGTGGGGGACTAGCCGAGCCCACCGCAGGCACAAGCAGGCCGATGCGGGGAGCCCTGACATCTGGGTTTGGAGTTTTGGACTTTATCCTAAGAGCAGTGCAGTGTCTGAAGATTTATGTGTAGAAACAACTAATTTTACATTTCCACCAATTTTTAGATAGCTTCTAAGAACTCATAATGAAACTTTAGACCATTGGGCCATTTGTGACACTTATAATTATTCAGGGAGTTCAAAAGTCTAAAGGAGGAAGTCCAGAAGAAGGGCCCCTTTTGTTTTATCATCAGAGATAAAAATTGGTTAAAAATAAAATGTGCTCCGCAATGTTTTTGAAGCCATGGTGGCAGTTTATCTGAACCGTGCTGACTCCAGCTAGAGTCGAAGAAGAATGTTTTTATAGCCCTGCTTTGCATTAGAGAATAAAACTTTCCTGGCGTTCTCTCCTCGTTACCGAGTTGTTTGGTAACATTTTCATTAGTTTTCTGATGGATATTGCACACCTGCAGCCGGTGTGCAGAAGGGTACAGGGAGCCAGTGGTTCCCATCACACCTCGGAAGAGCCCGTGTGAGGAAGGAGCCCTGCGGGCCTGGCTCGAGGCCTGGCTCAGATGTACTTGCTGTTGTCAGACTCTGAGTCAGTCATTTCTTCTCTAACACAGGCTGTGGCCTGTGGAATTAAGTTTTGTTGGAATAAAGCATCAGGCTTTCATTGGTGTGTTGTCTGTGGGCCTGTGTGACACAGCCCAGTAAGCACGGGGTAGAGGTGAGCGCGGGAGCTTTACCTGCACTTGGGGCGCTAGAGGGTTTCCTGGGCTTGGAGGCAGCTGGACTGAGTCCCAACAGTATAGTAAGAGCCGCCCTGGGAGGCGAGGAGGGAAAGGCCTGGAGGCTTAGAGACCACACGCCTGGCTGGAAGGCAGAGTAGGCGGCAGGTGTGAGCAGGACAAAGCTGGACAGCCGGTCGGGGGGGCAGACCTGGAAGGCTTTCTGAGACGGGCGAAGGAGTCCGAGGTCACCCTGGCTGGATGGCAGAGAGTGGAGTCCTCTAATGACAGTTAGAAGGCCCTGGAATAGTAACAGCGACGCTGTGTAGTGAGGGTCACCCGGGAAACTGCCTCATTTAGTGTAAAGACACGTACATGTGTGCGTGTGTGCCCATGTGTGTGTTACCGTTTCCAGTCAGGCTGGTGTTCAGCTGCATTTAACAGGAAACCTGACAAAGGGACTCGCAGGGACGTGTCTCCTGAGAGGCGGGGCGTGGCTGGCAAAGCAGCCCACCAGTGCCCTTGTGGGACCCGCTGTGTGAAGTAGCTTCTCTCCTCAGGGAGCCGCCTCTGGGAGCAGCACCTGTGTCCTAAAGGAGAAAGCTTTCCCAGAAAGCCTTGCCGTGCCTCACTGGCTGGAACGGGGTCCCATGGCCGTCCCGGCTGCAAGGGAGTTTGGGGAGGCAAGTGTCGTAGCCCAGCACGGGGCCACCGTGAAAACCAGGGCTTGTGGGAAGGCACAGCTGGAACAGGTATTGGCTGGACAGCTGGCACTATCACATGACTGCCTATGTTTGTTTTCTAGAGTTCATGTCATCAGAGTAGGAGTCTGTTAGTACCTGTGTGGTTGGAATTTGCAGCCTCATGTTGAATCGGGTATTAGATAGTGGGATGACTTTGTCATCTGGTTGGTTATCTGTTGTGTCTGCCTGCCTTTCCCCAGCCAGGCCTCTGAAAGTGCACGCCTCCAATACTACTCTGCATTTCTTCTGTGTCTGGATAGATGAAGGACTCGTTTCTACAAAGGAATAATTGCAAAGATGGAGCGAAGGGTCCCAGACCTTCCTAGCTTTGGCTGTGAGGTCGCCAAAACCCAGAGGAGGCGTCCCTAAATGGCCAGTGGCCTCATGACAGGGTGTGTGCCCAGCACATCTGTTTACTTCACATCCCACGTAAACTCATGAGCACAAAAGCCTAGGGTAGCCAGGCTTGGTTTTTTGGGGTTTTTTTTTTTTAAGATTTTTATTGGGGAATCGGGGAAGGGGAACAGACAAGTTGCTGTCCTTTTGTTCTTCAGTCTAGTTGTGGAGGATATTGCTTCACTGGCCCAAGTTGGCACCATCATTGCGCTCTTCCCGGGCGAGGCAGGTCAGTCGCCGGCTTCTGGACGGCCACTCACCGCAGCTGCTGGCCGCTCACGCTGGCTGATGACTACACACAGTAGCCCATGGCAACCCACTGCCACAGGGGCTGCAGCCTATGCTGTCGCCGGCGACTCACGGCAGCCCAGCTCCAGGTTGAGCTATTGTTCAGCATCTTAGCTGTAGAGGGCAGTGTCACTGGCCCTCATGGAATCCGAACCGGGGCCCTCTGGCGTCCCAAGCCAGCTAGCTCTTAACCAACGCGCCACTCAGCCGGCTCCAGGCTTGGTTTTTCTTAAGACTTGGGAGTTCAGGGGGCCAGAAGCACTCTGGTCCCAGGAGGCGTGTGTGCCAAGGGCCTGTTGGAGTACGGAGGGTGTTTCTCGCAGAAAATGACATCGTGCAGGCGGCTGGGGACAACCACACATTTCCTCCTGAAGCAGCCGCATCGCAGCTTGTGTGGGAGGGCCAGAGGGGAAGTGGCTGTTGGCTGCAGCCCCCTGAGCGTGTGAGGTTGTCCGTGCAGGTGCTGGACGGGCAGAAGGAAAACCATAGGGCTGGATGCAGGCCTGTCCCTGGCAAAACCACTGGAATTCCACGTGATCGCTTCCTGTTACTGCATAAAGCAATCAGAGAAGCTGTGCCTCTTTGTGACCCCATTTGTAACATACTGCGTGATGCCAGGTGTTTTAAAGTAGAAAAGTCACAGGAATCACGAGTACTGTGTCTGAGAGGCACTGTCCCAGTGGAGAAAGTATGGGACCTTGGTCACACGCTTTCCCCATCTGTGGGCACGACGCTTTCTCAGCTCCCTTTTGTGACTCGAGCATCATGCTGAGTGGGGCTCGAGTCCAGCCTCCTGGAGGAGACCTGGAAGGAGACTGTCCAATGGGCTGGGCTTCGGTGCCGGTGGAGATGAGCTGGGTGCGCTGTGGGTGGGATCGGGGCAGGCGGGAGACGGAGGACTGAGCCGCTTTGCAGGGAGTCATGAGCAGGGAGAGAGGGCAGCCTTAGAGCCGGCTGTGCACCCCACCCTATTTCAGGGGTCTCTCAGAGGCCAGGTGGCGGGAGGGACGGTGAGCTTGTGCTCGTTAGAGACTGCAGGGTCCCGTGAGCCCAGAGAAGGCCCTCCCTGCCAGGCCATGTTCGTGGGTCTTCTGTGTATTCATTGAGCCCTCTACCCGTGTTTACCGAGCCCCTCTGCTTGGTGTTGGCTACGCAGCTGCTAGCAAATCAGACTGGGGCCCAGTTCTCAGAGGACTCACATCCTTGGTGGGAGGTGTGGGGGACCAGACAGACAAGTAGTCAACGGGGCAGGTGGACTGGCCCGCCTGGGGCTCTCAGGATCTGGTAGCTGCCACCTCTTCTTTTTGGTTCTTGGATCACTGGGAACATAGCTCCATTGGTCCTGACCCCTCCCCCTTCACCGTCCAGACAAACTCCTTTGATAAAAGGGGAATGCGGTTCAGATTAACCCCGCTCTGTCCTCCCCTCCCCCAGCAGTGACTTCCAGGCCCTCTTTGGCACATGTGGGAGCCGCCTCTCCCAGCGCTCTGCGCCTTACTTGGATAACTCTGGACTCTGTGTGCTGGGTTTGGTTTCCTGGGAATTCTCCCGCAGCACGCAGCTCTGCTCCCTGCAGGGGTGGCTGGCGCAGGGCCTGGCCTGACTGAGGCATCAGGCTAGGAGCAGGAGTGGGGAAGGCCCACTGAGGCATCCCCCTCACCCTCCCACCCCCATTTGGGCCCCGTCCTGTGGGAACGGCCCTGGAGACCCGGAAGCTGAGACTGTCCAGGCCACACTGGAGCTGAGGCCATGCTGGAATCAACCTAGAAATGTAAAAACTGTCGTCCAGAGTTGGCTCAGGGCTGTCATTCAGATGTTTGAAAATGTTGAACAGGAACAGGGAAGGCCTAACAGCAAACCCTTCAGGCGCAGACTTCCTGTCCCGCTGATGCTGTGAGGAGATAAAGGACATGTTGGGAATCCAGTTCATCCTCTTAAAGGCTTCAAGGGCATTGTGCCGTCCTAGTTTGAGTCCCTCTGAGGCATTTCCCTGAATGCTAATGTTCGGGCAAGTATTGAGGAGAAGCCAGCAGCTCCGCTTTTAATTAAGTAAATCTCATGTGGTCTTTGAAAATCCCAAAACCAGACAAAAATAGCAGTAATAGCCCAAACTGGAAAATAGCTTCGTTTTCACATCAGATAATTACTTTAACAAATGGTCTCTTTTGCTAACATCCTCCCAGGCCTCCAGTCCCTTTTCCCCACCTACCCCCAGGGCCTCGACTTCCCCAGGAAGCATTTCCAGTGTGGCTGAGGGTTGTTGCAAGGTCTGGGTTTTCTTGGTAATCTTGGGGTTTTCTTTGTCACACAGAAGATTTGACAATCTGCCCCCGCAAAGGGGCCGCCCTCACCTTGCTGCCAGCCCACACAGGAAGAGGCTGGACTCGGCTGTTACAGTTCCTTGTGTTTATTTCTTGGCTTGGCTTAGAACTGTCATACTTTGCCCTTGAGGGGTCTGGGAGAGACTCAGCGTTCAGGAAGCCTGCGTGCCAGTCTCACCTTCCCCCCCCCCTCTCCTCCTCCTCAGCCATTGGCTGGCACACACACCCACCAGGGCTGGGTACCCACCTCTAGTAGGTGCCGTCACTATACCTGCTGTGAGGTTGGTCCACCGTAGGGCAGGTGACTGTTCCAGCCCCAGCCCTGGGCTTTCGTGTCCTGACAAGTAAAGCAGGTACAGCAGACTGCCCCTCTTAGCCATGTTTGAACTCGTTTTTTGTTTGTTTATTGGAACTCCTTTTCCAAATGAAATCTGAAGGGGGACTCCAATATATAAAAGAGTGAAAAGAGGAACCACTGTGGTCGACGCTGACCTTCCTCCTCCCCCTGGAACAGTCCCCGTGGTCTCCTGCGGCCCAGTGGTTCGGAGGCAGGGTCTGAGTGCCAGGGACTCGATGCGTCCCGGGCAACTGCAGCCTGACATTTGGTTATGTTGTCTCTCAGGTGTGCCTTCCTTTAGGGCCACAACTCTGTCTCACTGTCGTACCCTCCACCTCGTGCTTACTGCATGACAGTCATTTGAGCCAAGAACTGGGACTCTGGTGCTTTGTAACTTATGGCCTTTGAGTCGAGCTTGCACTCCATTCCCCAGCCTGTAGTCCTCTGTCTCCCAACACCCCCTCTCGCGTGAGCCCCTCTCTGAGCCGGTGCCGACTGTCCAGGCCAGAGCCACATTCCCCTGACAGAAACGCAGCAGTCACGTCTTCATGCCACACCCAGAACACTTTTCCCAGTGTTCTCAGAGCCCTTCCCACACTGACCATCGTCAGGTGAGTGACCTGCCTGCAAAATGTGAGCCCGTCAGAAGGTGCTCTCATTTGGGACATTGATTTCCAGGGGCCCCTACAGACCAGGAGTCCCTGTGTTCTGCTTTCTGTACACAGACACCTGTCCTAAGTGACACAGAATGCGTCATCTTATTAGAAAGCCATTTCTTTCTTGGATATCAGTGCTCAGCAGTTCCATTCTGATTGTGTTTTCACAGAAGGGGTGATTTGGTATTACCAGTGTACACACTTCACTAGTGGGAAGTCTACATCAATCGGTTGTTATGAAACAATGTTGTATTCTGCTTACAAACATGCGTCCTCAGAGATCCTATCATTTGGAAGAATACAAAGTATTTGTACTTGGATACATTGTTGTCAAAACTTTTAAAAGAAGTTTTTATTATGGGAAACTTTAAAGACATGCAGAAAGAGAATAACGTCCTATTACCCTTATATTTATTAGGTGGTTTCAACTGTTATTTCATGACCTGTCTTGTCTCATTGATCCCCTTGCCCACCTAATTTTGTTATTTTGAAGCACATATTGTGATTTACTTGTTAAATAACAAAATATTTTGAAGCACCTTTTGGGCATTGCATCATTTCAGCCTTAACAATTTCGGAAGCTTGCACGTTAGAGAGCTGTTGTCTGAACTGTGGCCATGCTTCAGCACTGGCCCAGAGTGAATTCAGTGAATTTACTGAACGACTCTTCTACAGTTGCAGACTTATTTAGTCAGAGTCACTATTTGCAAATATTAGCTAACCTGTATGTACTTGTAGCCCCAGTTTCTTGGAGGAAAGGGTGTGTCCTATCTATAACCTGATATGCACTTTGCTTTCTGTGCCTAACAGTGTATCCTGGACGTTTTCCTTATCAGTGCAGGTGAGTGGGCCTTGGTCACCGCTAACGTCAGGCTTACTGCTCCAGGACAGCAGAGGAGAACCCAGCCTCCTTATCTCCTGGGCCGAGGCTGTTAACACGTAGTGGTTGAAAGCATATCGCAGGCTTCCTGTGAGGAACATGGATCGGCTTTCGATCAGAGTGGCTGCAGAGCACTGAAGCCACCACAGAGAATATTTGTATGTGGCATACATTAAGCACAGGCCATGGTATATGGAGTACAGATTCTTGGGTGGCTACGTAAGAACCTTATGTTACCACACTATCCGTGTTTCATGGAGGATGTCAATTTCCGGGTGGAAGTTTGGAGTAACTGGCCTTCGTCTGCCTCTCTTTTCAGATTTCATTTATCCACACCCAAATGCTTCTGCAGAAAAAGCCAGAAACGTCCTAGCTGTGGAAACAGCCCCCGGAGAGCTGGTGGGAGAGCAAGCTGCAAGTCACCCGGCCCCAGGGGCCCCGAATTCCATCAATTTCTCTCTGAAGCAGTGGGGCACTGAGCTCAAGTGAGTCCTTGCAAAGCCATGTGTGGCTTCTGATCAGACGTGTTATAATTCATACATGAAGTCATAAAACCGCCTACATTAGTGATGGCCTTTGTTTTACTGCATTCCAAGGTGCTCGTATGGAGTGCCTGTTACACGCCTGACACTGGCCAACATTTTCACACTTGTGGTTTAATTTAGTCTGACTGGGGGAGGTAGGTCCTGTGGTTGGCACTTTGCAGAGAGAAACTGGCCCAGGAAGGGTCCTTGTCTAAGGTCACGAGGCTTCCAGGGTACAGAGCGGGCTTCCTGAAGGTCCCTAGGGGCCAGCCCCCTTTCTAGGACCCCAGGCTGTCCCAGATCCTGTGCTCTGTGTTTCCATCCTCTGCCTGTAGTGAGAGGGAGGTGGATTTGTTCTTGTTTTTGTTTTTAGGAAATGCTTCATTGAGGTATAATTCATGTCCCATGTCATTCACCTATTTAAAAAGTACAGTTCAGGGCCAGCCGAGTGGCGCGATGGTTAAGAGCTGGCTTGGGACGCCAGAGGGCCCCGGTTCGGATCCCACATATGAGGGCCAGTGACGCTGC